AACAACACCGAGCTAGCCGGACTAACACCACCGAGCTAGACGGACCAGCGACACCGAACCAGGCGAACTAACATCAACGAAGAGCTAGGAGCTAGGACATTAAAGTCACATCTCGCTAGTCTTCATTATTTTAAATAGTCAATTTGGACTTAGTAAATTTATTGTGTTTTTGTATTAATTAAATAAAAAGTATTCAAAATATAAAGAAAAAAACAAACTCTTGTTCATTTATTCTCAACACCATCAAACGAGCGTAGTCAGATTGTTACACAAGGAGTGTATATGATTTCATTTTCTGGATATTTCACACAGCATGGGGCAGAAAAACAATAAGTCACTTGAGATAATATAGCTAATCCATCATTAACAAAGATAGGTACTAGAGAGGCCATATGCAATAGGACAACTCAAGATTTATTTCAGATACAGTGCAGACCAGTACTTCGAAGTACTTATAGAATACGTCAGAGCCTGTTTCCAGTATCTAAATTCTAAAGCGGGGCTTTATTCTGGTGATGGATATATAGGTATTCAAACACAAAAATAAAAAATTTAAACAAATAATGTTTGAGTGCTCCTTACCATTATCATTCGGGTGAATGACTGTTAATAAAGGTGATAGATAGTTTAGGAAGTAGGTACCTCATTTGAAAATTACCAATTTTATTTCTTTAGATATTATAGAAATTCAAGGGTAAAACAAAATTATCCCCCTAAACTTTCGGAGTTGCCCGATTGCGGCCCGAATACAGTTAGTCGTATTTTATCCCAAATATAAGTATCCCGATTGCGGCCCGTCCAAACACACATTGGTTCAAAAAATAGCTTATAATTAATAAAATTAAGCATTTTGTATTAGACATATTTGCATAATATGCAACTCAAATACAATGTCTCGTTTATGATTATTATCTTAAATATATGAATAAATACACAAGTATTTCTTACAAGACTGTAAATAGTATAAATGTAGTCTAACATTTTATCTTAATTTTTTTATCTTTAATGGACTGGAAATTACCACGCCGAATATTGGTGATGGTGAGAATCGTGAATACGATAGTTGTATGTTTATGTCAAAATACGTATCGGACGCAATCGGGATATTTATTTAGTTTTGATAACCTCTGTATAGGCAGTTTCCTACCTAATGTGTACGGGCCGCAATTGGATAGGTGGAAAGGTAAAAAAGTTACTTTGGGTGGCGATCGGGCGACACCCTAAACTTTTTTTACAGTCAGCCATTCAGCCAAATCGATGAAAAAATGGAATGAAAAAAAATTAATTTTATCATTCAAATTATCCGTGTACCCACAGCCCACAGACATAAATATATATATATGTTAATAAAATATTAATGTATAATATGGTTATTGGTTAGCCACAGAACACCGACAAAAGCATTACATAAAAAGCAACATAATATATTATGTAATATTCTGTTATTGTCTATAATGGTAAAACCAATGTTTGAGTACGACTGTCGACTATTATGAATTTGTCCATACACAATTTTATTTGGTTACGTATTATTGTTAAATTATTGCACCACTCATCCGTAGTCCCACTGCCCATTCCCAGAATTTTTAGGATATTTTCTATTATTGTAAATATTCATTATCAACTGTGTAATTATTTTTTAATTTCAGAACTTCTAGTAACAACTATGACAGTTCAACAATTGAAATATTTAATTTGCACGGTTAATAGGTTATAAACACAATGAGTAAAAACTAAAGTAATTAAACATAATAACTATTACTGTGTAATTTTGTGACTATATTGCGTCCATTGTTTTTACTTTTATTTTATTTATCTTTCAATATGTGCAGACGTGCAGACGTACAGTGTGCACTAAAATTAATCACAACGTTTAACCAAGTACCTACCAACTTGAGTAAATCAACTTGAATAGGTAAGCGTTTTAAATTTTCATTAATCAATCTAACTTTGACGCTAAGTTTTTTGTGAATAAATAACAAATATATATTTATATTACCCGTGTACAACTTGATGTGTTTCGTTTTTACTATTAAGTAAAATATCAAAAATTATTTACCCTGCAGTTATTTAATATCAATTAAAATATTGCTTGTTGTTCGTAATATAACGTTTATTATTTCTATTTTTTTATAATGCATATTAATAATTATACTAAAAAAGTGACTCTACTACTCCCCTGTATAGGATATATGTATTAGAATATTATACTAAAATTTTCAACTTATAAAATCTTACTGTTAATGATAGAATTATACGATATTATACCGAATGAATGGTTAAAACGAATGTATTAATGCATACAATGTTAAGTGTGTAGAGGTAACTCTATGATAGTATACCTGACCTAACCTATATATGAGTAATGGTGGAAAATACCGGAAACGTCCAAGTTTCTTCAATTAATATTTTTTGAACTTTAAGTCTATTGCAAAACAGCTAAGTAACAGCGACCGAGGGAAGATCGTTAGTTTCAATCATAATTCGGTATTCCGGATATAAGATCTACATACATATATTATAGATGGCTAAAGTTTAGCACATAACATATACCACAATAATACATAACATCTATAACATCATAATATATATAAAATCACATATATAATATCTATACAATATATTAATATGTAATAACATCTATACAATATATTAATATGTAATGTCGTATAGATCCTAGTGGGAACCTCTGAAACAGGTAGGAACTCGTATTTTTCCATTTGGTTTGCTAACTATAGTTCACTTGTAAATTGTAATCGTTATATTAAAAATGAGGGTAAGTAGATAACCGCTGTGCTGTACAGTAGGAGTCAAATGTACCTCGCCATTGAGTAGGTCATTGTGATGGATGTGTAAAAATTTGAATTCAATGACAAATCACTGCACACGAAAAGCGATTCTGAGTGGAGACGGTCAGCATATTAACATATACATATTATAGTTTATATCGCTAATAAGTAATAATTATTATATTAATTTATTTTATTATTAGAAATACGGAATAAACCAGAGGTTTCCAAACTGAGCACGGGCTATGACACAAGGGTACAACGAGCCCATGACAGGGGAACCACTGCAAATATGAAAATATATAATGTAAATTGTAAAGTATTAATATTATAATAATAATATTTTGTATAATATTTTGTAAACTGCTTTTATCATTTAACAATTTAGGGCCGGCCCACAATATCCGTAAGAAACACGACTAAACAGATTTAGTCATGGTTTGAAATGCAATTGTAACGGTGCCGGTGCGTTAAAAGTGGATGCGTCTTACCGTATTGAGGTTTGCGGTCCGTTTTTGTCAATTCATTTGGATACCAGTGCGCTATGCGTTAAAAGCGGATAATGTGCTAACGTCATTAAAATTCACAAAACAACATGTTTCTGTGAATAAAGTGGTACCCGGCATCCGTTTTAAACACAGCTTGTTGCCTCGGTAGTTGATATATTCATATTATTAATGTTTTTATCAGCTAAATTATCCGTTTTCACCAGTCACCGACATCATTGTAAAATCAATACATAATACGATACATCCGCTCAGAATATAGCTAAAAAAAACATTTTTCTTAAAACATCTGTCGACAATGACATACGCGTAATCTAAACTTAAGTGGACATTTTTTAAAACCAAAAACCATTGTTTTCGTTTAGACCAACAACACACCGTTATCCGAGGAGTGGATACATCAAAACAAATTAAACACAGAACACTTAAATGTTATTATTTGTTCATTAATTTAAACTTAAATCCTTATTATTCAGAAAAATAACAAATGTATTTAATTACTGATACCAGTAATGCTTGATCGAATTCGTTAATCTCAGATGAGCTCTTCCTATAATCATTTAAAGATAACATGCCACAACCAATCCCAATAAGATATAAAATACGCTTGAAAAATGAGTACTATATCATATTATCGTTGAACTAATATTATATACATTTAGAAAAATCTTGATCTTAAATACACACGTTTTGTTCCGATACCCCAATACAACAATCATGAAGAAATGGAAAAAGATCTCTCTATTCGTGTGCGTGTTTGCATTCGTCAGAGAATTTAGGCCTATCGAGCCGTTTTACGCGGCTTACATGACAAGTCCAGCTATAAACATCACATTAACTCAGGTAAAATATAAAATATACATTAGACACAATATATATATAGGTATAAGCATATCGAAGGTTACATGGCAAAATAAGCTATAGCATGTAAGTGACATTTTTTAGTTTTCAGGAGATTCGAAAAACATTTTGTTGTAATTTATTATTTTTTTCACTACTTTTTTGATGAGTAAATAACTTTTTTACGTAGGATTTAGCATATTTTTCGTAGTTTTTTTACTTTATATAAATATACATTTTTGATTGGCTTTTGATTATTATTTACATGGATACGGAAATTTGAATAATACATTTGTCGAATTAACTTGACGCTTATGCCCTTATATGGGCACCATTTAATGCATTTATCTCCAATTAAATTTTGGTATAATTAATGACCTAAAATCAATATTATAATAATTAATAACTCGTGTATTTGTAATCGCTTTGCTATAATTATTTTAAGATAAAATGCAAATTAAAATTAAAAATAAATAAATAATTAACTCGCGTTCCTGATGATAATGAGCAGGCAAATTATTTGTAAAAAATAAATCAATGTCGATAAACTCCGCTTGTCCCCTAAACATTCGTGTTACTGCATTATCTATTCCTATTTTACTGTCGTTTAGACCAATTTTTCAAAAGAACTAAGGAAAAAAGTGTCGTAATTATAACGCAAACTGAAAATAATTTAAACTGTTTGCTAAATAATGGGCAGATCTGTTTAAACGCATCATGAACACCAAAAAGGATATAGTATTATGTGGCAAGGGCGGGAAGTGAGCTATTTCAAGCTTGGGCGACGTGTGAGCCTCAGCGTTCATCGATCATGGCAAACGTAATTCAGGGATCTATGCAACAATCAGACTCTTCTTGATTCTTATTCTATTCATGAAAGAAAAATGTTTACACTTAATGCAAGGAGGTTTAATATAAATATAAGAGGTAACCAACATTATAATATGCTTTGTAAAGACAGTGTCTGGTCGTGCAGGGCACATTCCCAACACTTCCAGTTTACCAGAGAAGGTCGCTTTCCAACGCTTCAACAGTCATCGAAAACTAAACGTTTGGTGCAGGCGTGACAAAAACATATTTTTCACACGCATATTATCCAATAATGTTAGTCATGTCACTTTGATCCTATATAAGTGTCGTCTAGACCCTTTTGCAATGTAACCATTGATATTATACGATGCAATTATGTCTGAATCGTGTTATGATATTCGGATCTAACGTTATATGCTCACCGAATTTCTGCGATTTTTACAGACGTCAAGAGATGTTTATGCAGTTGGAGCGTACTCGTGCTTTGTTCTCATCATCATTGTGTTCTTGATCACTGACTATCTGAAATATAAGCCGGTGTTGATAATGGACGGGATATGTGGTGTAATGGCCTATTGCAGTATTGTTGGACATCCGAGTTTATTGAGAATGCAGGTATAAATTATACCAAATAAGTACTATCGTTATGAGTTATGATGACTATTATAACTTATACGTTATTTTATATTATAATATTATGATATTTGTGTTTTTCACCGAGATTCGAGATTTGTAATATCGTTGTTTTTTTTTTTCATTTCAAAATAATAAGCAAAGGGAAAAATATTTTACAGATTGGCCAAGTGTTCTACGGTTTCTTCTTCTCGTCCGAAGTGGCTTATTTTGGTTATTTATACGCCATGACCGATGATAAACGTCTCTATCAAAGGATCACTGGGCAAGCTAGAGCGGCGTGTCTCTCGGGCAAGTTCTTATCGTCTTTTTTCGCCCAAGCAGTCAGTCTCGTCAACGGTTCAGTTCCTTACATCGAATTGGTTTACATTAGTATATTCGGTATATATCTTATTCGTTAAAAGTTTTTCAACGAATTCAGTTAGACATATTTGTCAATAAAATATAAACCATTTGATTTTCAAGGAATGTTTTTCTCAACTGTTTGGGCCTATTTGATGCCTAACGTTACTAATAGTATCTATTTTCATAACGAAAAATCTGAATCAACTGATGAGAGCCCGCCACCAGTTAAAAATCACACGTCTTCTTCGGATGAACCAAAAACCACAGAGAATGTTGAATCTCAACCATCGAAAACAAAGGTAGGTAACGCAATTTAATATAGAACTTTCTTACCGGTTACCTGGCTAACGATTGTATTAAAAAATTTTTTAATGGTACCATGAAACACGGTACTTAGTCGCTTTTAATTAACATTATAAAAGTACTTTTCAGATAACCAAGGAAATTAATAAAGATGAAGGTAAAAGTCTGGGTCAAGTATTATCATGCTTACAGAAGGATTTCAAGCGGTCGTATTCAGATCCATATGTTAGAAAACTTTGTTTGTGGTGGGCTTTTGCTTTTGGAGCATATGTACAGGTAAATATGCGATCCAATATTCTATTGTATATTTGTATTTTTGTATGGCAAGACCGGGAATTTAGGTATGATTGTTGAGGGCCAAATATGAGGCTCGAGCTGCAGTCGATATCTGCATTTCGTCCTATACTGAAATTTATTGTCTCGTCCTTTAAGTTAGCCCTTCAACATTATTCAAAGATTCTGAAAATTATGAAAACAGTAAGCGAGTAGTTCGCTGGAATTAGAGAGTCCATTTTTAAAATGTGCTAATATGTCAAATGCATGTTCAGAGTTATTCGAGCCACACACACCTGCTATTTTTGTCACACTTCAGCCACCTCTGAAACCCCATCTATAGATAGCCATCGATTATCGGTTATCCTATCCATAGTGTACTGTTCTTTATGTTCGTCAAACTATTTTAGAACAAGTTAATTTCCTTGTTTTAGGTAGCACCTCCACGTGGGGACTGAACCCTTCGCACACTGCTTGGCCCCCATACAGCATCATTTAAATAGAATGCTAATTTCTGATAACTCAATAAATAATTTCGTATTTTTCCATGACAATTTAACCAGGTTGAAATCAATATTTAAATATTAAGTGTTAACCACTTTTGGTTAGTACGAACTACTATTATGTATTAAGTATAAATACTAATATAATATGTCAAAACTAAATAGATTAATATTAAGTTGATTTGCTTATTTTATTATGTTTTGTTTTTGTTATATATGTAAAAACATATGTATGCACACGGGGCGTGCCGCTCGTGCCCAGGCACGCCCTGTGATTTTGAATGGTCCGAAACGCCCTATGACTCAATCTTATACTCACATAATTGTAATGAATATACCTAAATTACCAAATTCAATTTTAAATAATATTTTTAAAGCGAATTTGAAAAAATTGAATAATTCACTATGTGCACTCTGTATATAGTTTAATATATTGAGTATAATATGTAGCAGGGCTTCAAAACGTTACTTATAACGTTATAACGATAACATTTTTAAAAAAAAATGGAACTAATTAACCAGATTACAACAGAAACGAAGGGTGGTAAATACTAAATAATATCACTGAATGCTTTCATTTCAGGTCTACACGTACATTAATGTGTTGTACACTTATGTATTAGATTTAAATGAAGATACACATTTCACTTTGTACAACGGTGCGGCAGAATCACTTAACACTTTAATAGGTATGCACAATTTATTACAGACTACACAGTAACGTATTACGTAGCTAAAACAAAAATGTGGTGCGACGCTACATCCACGTATTATAATAGTATATCCAAATCTAGGTAACAGTCTAAGTACATCTGTATGGCAGGGGCACTATGGAAAATACCTACCTATATACATTGCCCCGGATTTCCATCACGATAGATTTTATTGAGTTAAACAAAGTATCTAAATATCAAATCAAAAAAGGAAAATTTTGTTTACCACCTAAGTGTCGGTTTTTATTCAAAGTAAAATAATATAATATAAGAAAAAATTATGATTATGCCATACATATCGTCATCTAAACCTAAAGTATATCTATCGAAATAGCTGAAACACCTACCTACGGTCTACAATCACAGTTGATCACAATTTCTGATTTTTCAATATGAGAATTAGTAATTACTGATTGGCTATTGATTTTACACAGATCTTAACTTTAAACAGAAATATACTTCAGAACAAAGTTTCTTTCCATAGAATGTTACCCGTCGTAGAGAGACAGAAACGGAAAATTTTGGTCATGTACCTGTACGGTCTTCACCTTAACACCTACAAAATGTATATTGTATGATAATTAATAAGTGGTTTAGTAAGTATGCGTACCGGCCGTCGTCGCAAGCACTCGGATGGGTGACCACCGGGGTTTTTAGCAACACACAGATCCTTGCCACACATATAAACTTGTTCCAACCAAACGTCCTCTATCCACACAATACCAGTATGATGATCTTAGTAATTGAAGCCTTAATCCAAATAAAAAATAACAATAATAATTAGTAAATAATGATAATATTATATTAATTTTGTTTTTAATTTTTTAATAAATTATATTTATATAGGGGCTATTGCTGCTTATTCAATTGGCAAACTAGAATTAAATTGGTTCAAAGTCGGAGACTTATTTCTAGGAATTGGTTCAATACTCGCTGGAATAGTACTTCTTGGTTGTTTTTACACAAGAACCATGTGGTTCATTTACGCTTTCTACATAATCTACGGGTGTCTTTACCAAACGATGTTGACGGTCGCCGAGTAATTTTTTGAATATTTTCATACAACAAAAATTTTACATTTACTTAAATAACAGCTCGGTGTATGACACATTATAGATCCGAAGTCGCCAAACAATTAAGCAGAGATAGTTACGGTCTCGTATTTGGATTTAACTCATTTATTGCACTGTTCCTGCACACGCTAATGACTTACGGCATCGTTCAAGGACACATTATCTCGGTTTCAACGATACAACAAGTAAATAAACAAACCAATAAAACCATAAAACAATAAACGATGTCATAGGATTTTTTTTAAATATAAGAGACCTTTTTTACACGTGCTACACATTAGAGTATGTATTATACTACAGACCACAGACTGATAAATTGTGCACATCACTATATCGACTAAAAACAAAACTATTTAAAATGGTGAAGGACCTACCTACAATAAAAATCATCACATTAATATTTTATTTTATTAATGTGTCATTTTAAACATTTTTGTTTTTAGTCGTTAGTTTGCACTCCTACGGAGAAGTTATCACTTCGGTATTTTAATTTATTATCGCCATGTTGACTTCTGCGAATCACGAGTGGGTAGCTACCGTTGTTTGAGTAGCCCTGAAAGTCTGAATTATAGTAAAGTTATAACACTTATAACTATTTTTAATGTTATAAGATTACGCTGACATTAATGAATCAATTATCTGAACCCATAAGTAATGTAACGGGATTAATTAAAATATATTTTCTGTGGTACGGTATGATGTGCAATTTCAAAGTTAAAATGTTATTTAGCCTTAATGACTTGTTGGTATCACTGTATTTAAATCGTTTCAGAGATGTTTTTTAAAATTGTATTTTAAATGCATTTTTCTATTTTTGCAGTTTTTGATTTATGCTGTTTACTACATGTGCATTGGAGCGGTGTTCCTAATTTTCTCAATCAAAAGTTATTTCTCATCAGCCACAACCGACAGTATTATAGAATGTAAACAATAAATTATTTACTTATAAATGTACATAAAATAAAACCTTTAACTCTTATTTTGTGTCAAATTAAATAGTTTATTTTGTTTGTTATATATTATTTAAAAATGTAAGTATGTGAATATTGTGAACTGTGAACACTTTGATAATTAATTAATTTGGTATGTATTGCCTTTATTGTTTTTTTGTTTAAACTAGTTTCGGGTGATCATGATGCACAAATATAAATAATGTATTATCTATTGACTTGTATATATAATAATATAATAGTGCTTAAATAAAAATGAAAGTGTTCTGAAATCTAAAAAATTATTTTAAGTAAATTACGTGGAATGCATAAATACTCCCTCAAAATGTGATATCTCTATAATATGCGTTAATGTGAAAATATAGACACACTAAAAACTATGTATATATATATATATTAGATGGGTTGGCAACAGTGTAAAATAGGTTAGTTATAGCCGATAAAGGTTTTCTGTAGTTTGATGACCAATAATATTATAATATAAGCCGCTCAACAATATTTACATACCTACGCACGATGAGTTCACAATATTTTAAAGGTTGCTATGCTCGAAGTTCGTATATTATTTGAATTAATACAGCTATTATTATATCATACCGATTATTATTGTAATATTGTCCTTCCACAATATGACATCATTAAATTATTGACTCATAATTAATATCGGTATCTATAAGAATTGCATAGGTTGTAATGTTGTATAGTGTACAATGAAGGTATAATTCACAGAATTGTATGCTAACCTATTATATTGACTATACTTTAAGTTTATGTAACAATTTATTGATATTCCATGAGTAAAAATATTTAATAACAAATACAGAATTATTTTATTAACTGATGTGATATTCTAAGCCCGGGAAATTTACTTTTGTTTGTAGGTAGATATTATTGCAAAGATGATATAAAAATTCCATGTGTTTCATATTAGGTGTCAAAAAATATGTTATTAACAGTTATGTATTCAATTTCACAAACAGCTCTTATTTTGATACCTACCTATGGGCTATGTGGCTATGTGCTATGTAAAGTAATGGAATATTATGAAATGTATATGATACGTGCTTGACCGTATTGGCGGTGCTCCACGAGTAAACGACTTCATCAGGGAGCTTTTCAATTTTTTCGGTCTCTGTTTCAAAAGCTGGTATCGAAATCTAGTTCATTTGCAATTCTGAGTTCCATTTGTCTACACGTCTCCGTTCAAAATTAAAAATGTCTAGTATGTGCGTATTGTTTGCCAGATTATAGAACGAGGAATTTATAATAATATTACATTACTAGCCAAGCTAAAATAATAATCTAGTTGTAGCCGTAGGTACGAGATGAAAATCCGAAATGGCAAGATGAACAAAATCGAAAATACGGAGATGTCTTTAAAGTTATTGAAAAATACAAGATTATTGCATATATATGCATAGTGCATACCACTTGTCAATCAAATATTTGATGATAAAAATAAGAAAGGCAGAGTAAAAGGAACCAATATACTAATCAAGTATGTAATAACTAATATGCACGAGAATTTTGAATTCGTTAACTTTTGTCAGCGTATATTTGATGATAAAAAAATGATGATTGTGATACCCCTTCAAGCAGCCATTTTGTTTCTGATGTTAACAATCCGAGTCAATATGCAATACCCAGAGTTTCTCAAATTGTGGGGCGAGACCCACTGGTCAGCCGTGGGTTAATTCTTGGTGGGTCGAAAATGAAACTGGGTTCACGACAATACACAACATGCCGTGCCGCCGCTGACAATAGTCATTGTATGCCGTCTTCATTTATCACATTTAATAATTAAGTATAAAAAGTTATAATATCAGTAATTAAATTTTGTTTTTTGACGATAGATTTTCAGGGATAAATTTGAGTCGCGGTTTAAAAAAAAAATTGAAAACCACTGCAATAACCTGCATATTTCAATCAATTAATCAAAGATATTTGAATAATAATAACTTAAATATTATATTAAGTATAGTCAAGTGGTGGAGTCGCCATCGCCGTCGTCATCGTCGGGGCGGGATCGTTGCCCACGCCGGTACCTCTACACCAGCCGCCGTGCCGTCGTCATAGTTGTCCGTCGCTCCACGCGACCATACTGCGGCCGGACGCTCGCCCAGCCACCAGAGGGTCTCGCGTGTCACTACGACCGAGCGCACTATGCCCTTGCAACCCGTCGCGCCGTGTGTGGTCGGAGAACGTGATCGGGCGACATACCGCCGTGCACCTTCTCCGTGCTCTTTCCCGTATCCTCCCCTCCTGTCTGTCGCCGTCTTCCAACCGACGTCATCTGCCCAAGGGGGCTTGAACTACTGGGAGCTGCGGACGGTAGTATCGCATCGCCAGCAACACAACACTCGGGAAATGCGTTTCACGCGTTTTCACCCGGCGGATAGTCCACTCCTGCGAAGGGAAACACGTTTCCCGGGTGCTGCTGACGGGTCCACCCAACCGACCAGCTCTCCAAAACTGTTCGTAACTGCCATGCCTATGACCGGATCATTTTCTTTACATAACACACTTCAGGCACTGCTTCTACTTCGCCGCGTGTTCCATTCTCGGAAATCGGGGTGGGATCGACAGGCCCCAACTCCGAGTTCAGGGCGTCGCCACCCGACGGCTTACTGGCCAACGAAATGATCGAGTCCTCGGCTTCAATGACGGTATCGTCTTTTTTCAGGCCTGTGACGTCGAGAGGTGCGTCCTCGGGGTCCGGAGTGGGATCGACATGCTCCGGGTCCGGGAACAGCGCGTCACCGCTCGACAATTGATCACCGGCCAAGAAAATTGGATCCTCAGATTATTCAGCTTTTTCGTCGTCTCTCATCTGCACTGAGTCTCCGATTGATGCTTGTTCAGGAGCCGGAGTGAACTCTACGGGCTCTGGATCTGGTGACAGCGCGTCGGCACTCGAAGTCCGTCGAAAATCACTATCGACGGCCGACTGAAGAGATGCAACGACTCGTACGAGGTTTTCGTCAGTTTCGTCATCATAATTGCTGCTCATTATGTCCACCACGATTTCTTCGAGAATTTCGAGTAGTGTGGCATTTATGGCGTTGATGTTATGTGCCATTTTTTTAAGTGTGCGTAAATATTGTAGTGGTTGAATTGAGAATTGCTAATGAAATAAATACATCATTTCCAAAACAAAGACCGAGGAATTCGAAAATCTCCCAGACGACGACGTGTGTTACTAGCCAGCGCAGGTACTTTCATCGGTCGCATCGGTAAGCAGCGTTAGAATTTTAAGCTCGTTCATTTTCCGAAAAACCATTATTATTAATAGTATTATTATTATTATTGGTAGGTATATATTTTAATATTTTAACGAGGGTTTCTGGAATTTTGATTTGTATTATTCTATACTCCATTTATACTTTTAGGACTTTAGGTGGTCTATTTTTTGTATATATATATAAAAAATTTTGCTTTTTATAATTGAATTACATATATACGAACACACGTTTTTTTCGAATGTTATGTATTTGATACGTGGACGACGAATAAGCACATGTATTATCTGAATATCATTATAATACTATGTTATAACTTATAATTTAATATAATTTAAATAATGGATGGCATCTTCACCTATTATAGTTATGATGTATAAATAGTTTATGTAGGCAGTGATATCAATTTTGTAAGTAAGATTATCTTTGAAGTCCATCAACTCGAGCACTTTACTTTTACTTAAATTAGTTTTTACTTTATTCAAGACTTATTTTAAGTAATATAAGATATAATTGTTAAGAACCTAATTTAGAAACTATTTAAATATCAATTTTAATACAAATAAATAAAGTTTGATAATTGTCTTTGTATTAAATAATTTTATTAAACAAGAAAAATGTATTCTTTTGTCTGTATAACTTTTTCAATTGTATATACAACTGTATATGCAACTGTAACATTTTATTTTTTTTTGCTTTCTTACTTTTAACCTAACCCTAAACGGCGCAGCACAACATGCGGCGGACGAATTTCTTCGTCCAGCTCCAAATTGTGCGTCGCCGTTTGGGATGTATAGGCTCGCTGGCCAACAACTCCTGACAAGTGACGTCACTAAATTTGTCATGCGCTTCGGATTCTGGTTGGTCCGCCAGTGAACAACGTAGAAGGACGTTCGGTGCTGAGGACCACCGACGGCCACCGAATTCGCTTGTCTTCAGGATGCTAGCCGATGTTACCCGAAGCTCCGGCTCAGACGTACACGTTGTCGTGTCAACTCTGTCCGATGTATCCACAACGGGGGAACTAATCGCATGGTCGACCAACTTCCTCTCCGTCAACTGCAGCTTGATAGATCCAGACGAAGTAAACATATTCAAAAAAACGAATTAAGCTAAGTACAATGATATAGCAGACTCGCAAGTCGATGCTTCAATGTAGAGTAGCAAGTGGGTAATGACTCATATGTCAATAATCTTCGAGTGACAAAAATAATTTATACTAGTCAAACCTATCGCAACGATGTTTTGTTGATTTTGTATCAGCCAGAAGAGGTACTCTATTAAATATTGTTACAAATACATTAATTTAAAATTTAAAAAAAAACAAAAGTTTTGATTATATGAGTCTTGAGTCGACCTTTATGTTTGTTTTTTTTTTAACAGGAATGTTGCTCTTCTGTGATAATATCAATTTTGTTACACTATGGAACCTGTAGGAGGAGTTAGCTGAAGAAAAGATGAAAAGGTGGCAGTGTATACGTTGGCACCTCCTTTATTTTCATGGATTATTAGCCAGATATGAAATTACTTAAATGACAATAATAAATTATATTAAAACATGTTGTATACATTTTACAATTAATGTTTATAATTAATTATAAATTATTTTATATAGTTTGTTAAGGTAAACGGAGTCAATTTAGTAGATTGCAAAGTTCCGCAGATTGATATTGGGACAAAAAATAAACCGCACTAGTCCCCCTCCCTACAAGTACGTTTTTGAGTGAGGAATACTTTTCACGTTATGTTAACTAGGTTTTATACTCATAAGTAGTCTAGTATAGTCATATTATGTAGAATAATTTATGTTTTACTAATATTATATATATATTTTCTTAATATTGTTATTTTTTAATAAATTAAAATAGTTTACTAACCTGCCAACGTTAAATTTGTTAAAAGAACATAGGTTCAATATTAGGTAACTTAATATATTAATATTAATTGATATAGTAAAATAATATCAATATTTATT